TGAGCTACTCTTGGATATGTCAAGACAGACTAAAAACTCTACCCGTACCATCAGGCTGGTGGCTACAGTGGGGTTAGAGGCTCCAGCCTCAAAATGGTACTTTGAACCACTGGGCTCACAGGCAAATGGGTAGAAGAATGATGAACATTTCTCAGGATATGAGAATAGCAGGGCACACTCCTAACATTTGAAGAGCATTGTTGGCTCCAGGTGAATAAGGCAACTATCCTAACAGCCTCTGGACCTTCAGGGGCCCACAGATAAATGAAAAATCTATACTTCTTAAGAAGTGGTGCCAAGAAGACCTATAAAATCAGGTCTACTGTGACATGGAGCCAGCAGAGCTCAGCATAACAGCAGAAAAGAGAGACTCCCTCTTCTGTTCCATTCCCAGATTACAGGTTATCTGTAGCAGCATCTTCCTTGGAGGCCAGGGACTGTCCCTCTCTGCTGTGGTAAGTGCACCATGCTTGTGAATTTCAACTGAAACACATAGTGGAACACATAGTGATTAATTCACAAAGACATACTTCTTTATCCAGCATTAGATAACTATGTCTTGATGTACTGTACATAGAAGAAGCAAGGCTCAACTGAGGCACAACTGGACTGGAAATTGGTCTAAACCTAAAATCAGCATTTTCCCAATTATATTACAGGTTGTATTTGTAAATAACAAATATAGTAGTCCAGTTTGGCTAATTGTAGAGTAAGTATAAGAAATAAACTAAAAATAATGCTGGAAAAAATGCTTAGAGGACTAATTTATGCCCCGAGTCTCAAGGAAGAGCAAAATTAAATCCAGTAAACAATGGAGTTTTTAAGCAAATTATCCATTCCCTTCCAAAGATATTTCATAAGCCTCTGCACTGCACAGATACCGTTTTGGGCTCCAGGAATATAACAGTCACAAAAAGAGACAAAGTACTTGCCATTATGAAGCTTAAATTCTAGTATAAGGGTCAGACAGTAAACAAGTTCGTAATAAACCTGGAAGTGATAAATGCTACAAAGAAATAGAAAGCAGAATAAGGGGAAAAGGTGACGTGGAGGTGGAGGCATCCTGGTTTTTCTGGTACTATTTTCTACAGATGACTTCTCAGGTAAGGAACATTTGAAGACGATCAGAAGGCAGGAAAAGGAGGAGCTACGTGGGTATCTGAAGAGAGTGTGGGAAGAAGAGCAAGAGCAAAGGCCCCAGAACAGAAAGAATCAACCAAAGCCTGATTTCATGATGTTGACTGCCTTCCTATTTTTCTTACATGAGGGTCCACATTATTTATTACAGGACTTGTTTCTGTGTTTTGTTTTGTTTTTGATAAATATACTTTTTCACAATATGGGGGTTGAGAAGAAGAAGAAGAAAAAAAAAATCTCTCCATCCTCTTTGTCCTCTGGAAAGATTAGAGCCAAAATAACAGTTTAACACATCTACCACCACCATTCCCGTCTCCAAAGCCCTGCTATCATTTTTTAGTACACCAATTTTGTCTTTTATTGTCTGTCAGCTGAGGATATATGGGGGCAGCCCTTTATTGTTGTATGAAACATTCCCTGCAATTTGCGAAGGCTGAGTTTTCCTTTTGCACTTCTAATTATGAAAGGGAACTTGGGCACAGGATATTCAAAAATATCAAGCAGCTGTGAAAGAGCACTTCTCTAATGATTTCGATTCATTAAAAAACATATTCTGCTCATTTCTGAGGAATAGCTCCTTAAGAACACAATGAAACTCTGACCAGTTTGATAGTATCACACATGCAAAACTTTATTTTATCAGCATTTAGAGGCACAAAGTTTGTCGACTTTATAGATGTTTTAGAGTACACAAAACACCTCAGAGAAAATTGTCTCTTAGTTATGGGTTCTTTAAAGCTAGCAAGAATTTCGAGTTTACTAGTATCTTTTCAAATTGGGAATATTAGAAATTTGATTTTTTTTTTTTTTGGCCTCATGTCATGGTGGGTCCTACTCTCTTTACTCTCCTGATATTCCCTATATTAAATCTATCTTCTATTCAACAGTAACACTTCATAATTCATACCTGTCTTAAAAACAGAGTGCGAAGGCAATCTAGCCTGCAAGTTCTGTCATGGTACAGCATTCTTTCCTGGCTCTGATGGAGTAACTTTCTAGAGGGTATGACAATGGGATTATCAAAAAAGAAAAATATGGTGTTGGATTCAACCTTGACCCAGTTATTGAACTTGAAATAGGGCAAGCTTTAAACCATAACAATATCGGTAATGTAAGGCAATATTATAGGACATGATCTACAGGACGCCAGAAAGTTCTCTGCCTAAAATGCTAACCTCTTAACAGATGCTCCATTAGGAATGCATTTATTTGGATAAAATACTTCATTCGCCCCACACTTTTCTTAAAGCACCATTTTATGGAAGGGTACAGATGTGAAACATGTAATAGAATCTTTTGACTTGAGTTTAGCACACAGAATATAAAGATAGTAGTAGGAAGGGATACTTAAAGTGCAGGAAAATGTTGGTAAACCAAACCGAATTCATTCCTTTCGTTTTGACCCAAGAGGCAGCCCTACTCGAAACAGCAAATGGTTAATATTCTTATTAACCATTCAACAACCTTAGCATACCCACAGAGTATGAGGGAAGGCAATCGCCTAGTGAATGGGCTCTTCTCCAGTAGAAATACAAACAGAGAGCAAACATTCCTGGCTATTTGCATCAAATGAAATTTGAACAGAATACCCACCTGGATGGTTTCAGTCTACAGTAATTTTAAGTGCATGTTTTATGTTTTCTCTGGACAAAAGAGCACTGTAATAAAAAGGTGACAATTTTCCACTTCTAGGCAAGTAAAAAGTAGAAAATTGCTCCAACCTGGCACAATAGTGTTTGATTTTTGTTTCTTGTTTTTGCTTTTGTTTTTTAATATTAGGATAGCTGCCTTAAAGGAAGCAACAATTTGAGGGTCTAGGTCTCATAGAGTAAAAGGTAGCCTGTACCAAGAAAAGGCTGTACAATATTTGCACATCACCATAAAAGTCTGTACAGCATAAAAATATATTTTGTGGCCTTTTTTCTTTGCTTATCCTATGCATCAGCAAAAGACAGATTATTATCATCATTATTTCTGTAGCCATCTTCATTATCCAAATGTTTTATAGACATTGATTAGTTAACTCTTCTATGAACCCTGCCAGATAGGTCAATATGATTAATCCAAAGGCAAAGCAAGAAAGCCCTGAGGTTAAGTGATTCATCCTTCCCTCCATGGAGATCGGTGGAAGACAAGATTCAAACTCCAGAGTTCTTCTGTCTGAAACTGCTTCTATCCCTGCTGACATAGGTGACAGTGAAAGTGCTTTTTCTTCCTTGGTACAATTGATGTAGGAAAGACTCACGATTGTACACACTTATGGGTAAAGAATAAACTATTACCCTTTGTGAGATTCTTTGTTTGGCTAAATTAAATGCACTTAGGGGAAATTTTCAATTTGTGGCCAGAGAAGGTGTTTCAGGTTAGAGCTCTTACATCTTTATGCAACAGTTTGTGCTTTCTATAAATATTTATCAAGGTTCTACCATACCCCCAGAGGCACAGTCTGGGCTTTAGGAAAACAAGAGTGAATTTGAGAGCCAATGTCCTGATTTCATGGTGCTTACTCTTAAGTGAAGTGAGAGAAATGATAGAAACATTAAAGAAACAAGAATACTAACACACAGTGATAAGGCCAGGAAGAGAATTAACGTAGGATGTTGTAGAAACTGGTACGCAGGTGTTTCTTTAGACTGGGTAGTCAGGGAAAGCCTCTCTGAGAAGGTGGCATTAAAAGTGTGTGACAAGAGGGAGCCAGCCATGTGGAGAGGAGAGCAAATGGCAGAAATAAGAGCTGAGCTAAAACGTAAGCTACTAAAAGCCCAAGGGAGAAATGAGCTTGGTGTGTCCAGGGACTGGAGAGCAATTCAGTGCGGCTGGGGGATAGTCAACAACTGGGAGAGTGGAATAATTTAAGGTCAGAAAAGTAGGCAGGACCAGAATGGGTAGGTCAGACAAAGCAGCTTGGAGCTTACTCTAAGTGCCTTCGGTAACCCGCAGGGAAGTCTTAAGTGGTGATGAGACAAAATCTTATTCCTATTTACTAACATTACTCTGTCATTTTGGGGAAAAAGAGCTCCAGGAGAGAAGCCAGTTAACAGGCTATTGCAGTGGTTCAGGTGAGAGATGATGGTGACCTGAACTGGGATGGAGTACTGCAGATGGAGGTGGAGAAAACTGGATGAATTTAAGATAGGGATTGACAGAAGAATTGGCAGGACTTGCTGATAGATGTGGGAAATATGAGCAATGAAATGGAAGGCAACTATTTATTTAGATGAAGAAAGAGAAACAAATTATTAGGAAGTGTTTGAAATCTTAGGCCTTTCATGATGCATTAATGGGGCTCAAGGATCCTTAATTTTTTTGAACAAATCAAGCAGATAAAAAACATTTCAAGTATAATGGCAAGGGTGATGTAATCTGGTTTCTGGCTTTTTATAATAGTAGGTGATGGAAGAAAGTAAACTAGAAAACTAAATCATTACGCAACTGTTTAAGAAAATCTTAAATCTAAGACCTATTTGGGCCCACTTGAAATTATTAAATACAGAATGAATTCAAGTAAATTTTGTGATCATGCATTTATCAAAAATGTATTTATGTTGCAAAGCACAGAGCTATTTTAAGACAACATAGAAGCAACCTAGCCTTCATGAAGGCTGTTCTAGTGGGGGAAACCTGGCAACAAATAATTATCACAATTAATTAATTTCAATTGTTATGAAGGAAACAAGAGAGGAATATGAGCTATTCTGGGAGGTCATTAAGGACTTCTTTAGAAAGTGACATGTAAAGGACTTAGCCATGAAGATGCTGTGACCATCACTGGGATATAAAGTTATAACTCATACTTTCACACTCAACAATTTACTGACTACAGCCATAATGTCACCATCTTCAAATTCTGAAGAGAGAGCATTTGGTCCATTGACTGCCTGGTGTCAGGGCAAGTATACATTTCTGACCCATTTGGTTGTGACTTGGGAATGAGAGTGTGCGAAAGGGAATAGGGGCCTATAATTTCCAAGGACTAAAGAAGACGCTGTTAAACTGGGAGAGATGTTGAATATGACCATAAATTGAATTATGTTTCTAATATAAGCCTCTGCTCACCTTTTCATTCCCAGAGCTCTGCAGAGTACCAGGCATATAGGAAGCGTTCAATGTTGAGTGCTGGATTGAGTGAATAAATGAATAAAGGCAATTAGAGACATAGCAGAAGGCAATTTTTGTCTCCTGTTAAGTAGTAAGAAAGTCTATATACCAGATCAATGATGGCCCTCTCCCAATATACTACTACCATCACTTCCATCATCTTTTGGAACTGTGCCTCACTTACAGACAGGCTAACGAGATTAGAACTATTTTGATTATAATTGATACCTGATTTTTATTTTTATATCTGAATCCAGTGCTTCTCAGACTTAACAGAGCATAAGAATCACCTGGCAGCATATGTGAAAACACAAAATCCCAGGTCTCACCCATTTCAGAAGAGCCAAAGGAGAACCCAAGAATATGAATTTTAACAAAGATCCCAAGTGATTAAGATGCAAATGACTGAACTGACTTGGAGAAATACTTACCTCTAGTCATTCTCTTCCCATGTCCAGTCTACCACAGATCTAAAATGGTCCCATAGGTTTCTTTGCCTTCCATTGCCATTGTCACTGAAAGTTTAGGTATTTTTCAGTCACATTCCAATAGCCACATATCTGTTCTTTCTTCAGAGTCCCCATGTCTCAATCCAACTTGCACTTTAATTCATTATATCTTCTCAAAACAATGATTTCTGGATTAAAACAAAAGGTTACAATGACTCTACAAAGTAGCAGAATCTAATATGCTTACATTTAAACTACAAATTTGAATTGTAATTTTTCTCCATTTTAGCCTCCTCGAATTTGAAGCCTTTTACTTTATACAACTCCAAAGGCATCCTACTTAAGTGCTTTTCGAAAGACTTTCCTATTTTATATGACATAATACTGCCCAAAAGGAAACCTAAAACAACAATAATCAGGAAGCCTAGTTTTAATCCAGTGTTTTTCAAGCTGGCTGTGTGAATGTGGGTAATTTCCTTAACTTCTCTGGAATCCATTTGTTTCATCAGTGAAGACAGAATTGGCCTCAGCTAGTGGCTGTCACACATTTTGATGACCACCCACTGTAAGAAATAGGTCATGACAATGAAGTTTCACAAACAGCAAACAAAACGCACTTACTGCATGTGATGGACTCTGATATTTTATCTCACAATCTACTTTATTCTATCATATTATTTCTTGCATAAAAATGCTAGTTGCAACTTTCTAAACTGATTTCACAACACCCTACCAGATCATAGCTGCAGTTTGAAAAATACACAGATGATCTTTATGATCTGCTCTAGTTCTAATGTTCTATGATAACGAATAAACATGGCAGCTCTTTTGCATACTTGTATGTCTTCCCAATTTATATATTTTCACTTTTATAGATAAACTCTAGGGGAAAAATAGATTTGCTAAGGTTATCTGACAACTCTGATAAAACAGTATTGATACATGTTATAAATCAGTTTAATAATGATACAAGCCAATGGAAAAAAATAGGATTTATTTTCTCATTTTCTTTTTGCTCCAGGTACAGATTGCATCACAAAAATTCTTACCATGATTGAGGAAGAGGTACCAAGATTGAAGTGATGTCCCTTCATATTTTGGTTATATCACTTGGCTCTCAGCCTTGGCTTCACTGTAAAATCAACCTGGGGAAGTAAAATAAGCAAAAAACACCCTCATTCTGGAACTATTAATTCAGACTATAAGAGAGTGGAACTGAATCATCAACATTTTTTAATCTCTGCAAGCGAGGTCTGAGAAGAACTAGACTAGCTGATACACCTCAAAAGCCACAGTGGTCTGGCTGCCTAGTTTAGTCCAATGACAGAGAACAAGGGTGATGGCAAGCACTCTTGCTTGAATGTAACATTCCCATTTTACTCCCTCGTCCTTACATTCCTCCCCTAAGCTTCACACTATTCTTCTCCTTCATCATCTTCATAATCCAAAATTGAGAACTGCTACCTACTGCAATTTAAGCAAGAACGTCTTTAAGTCCCAAATCTGCTCCATTGGCCCTGCTCACATACCTTTCCGTTCTTGAGTGCAAATGCCATTTGGGAAGGGTCACTTTATAAACTATCAATCCTTTTCTCTCTGTTCTCCAACCCGTTCTGCAGAGGGGAGATATAAACAGCTTACAGATGCGTCATTTTGAAGACCTGGTAACAGGGGAAGAGCAGGAATTAACAATTGCCTCTATCACACAGGTGAGCACTAGGAAAAGTGGGCTAAGAACGGTTGGAGATTTGGAAGACACAAGTAGGCAAAAATGGCCACAGGCAGAGAGACTCAAGGGACTAAAGGGTGTTAGAAGTCATGATTTGGCTTCAATGCAACAAAACCTAAATTTTGAGTGAATCACACATTTAAAAAATCCATTGGAGAGAACAGAGATTATGAGAAACATACCAAAAAAAAATAAAATGAAAAAATGTAACAAATGTATGTTTTGGAGGGTTACAGTGCTTTTGGTTTTTGCTCTGTAGACTTGATTTCGTTATAGTGATCAGTTTTTCTTAATAAACAAATGAATCGAATTTTGAGATACAGGGGCTTTGTTTTGAATTCATAAATTCTCATGTCAGATGAAAGCTACCGGCATTTATATGCTTCCTTATCGCCACCTGGTGTGCTTTAAAATAATGCAAGGGAAAGATAGCATAGTGCAACTGAGTTATCAATGGAAAATCAAAGCTGGTGACTAAGCAGTTTATTAACAGACAAATACCCTTGATGTAACTCAATGAGCCGCAGATGTAATACGGGAACATCTCATTCAATAATGTGGCTTTCTCTGGCCTGCAGAAACCGATGAAAGGGCTTTCTTTTGTTTTGAGTTTATGACATTTTGATGATGTTATTTTAATATATAATAAAATTATAAATAATATTACAAATAATAAATTATGATAAAACAAATAAAATTTTAATTTTTAATAATATTGGTACAAAAAGGTGACGGTGTTTTATTTCATTATGTTTTGATTCCCTTACTTGGCAAAAATAGGATAAATTTGGGAGAGGTGATCAGCTTTTCTGGAGAAGGCTAAGAGAGGTATCAAAGAACTCAGGCACCACCTCTGGCTTTCTCCCCTCTCCCCAGCATAAGGATAAGACTTGACTTAGGTTGAGTTGGTTCAAAATTTGCACAGGAGTGCAGGTGAGATAGACATCTCCTTAATGGAAATGTGCAGACGATCAATACAACTGCTTCTGGAATGCTGAAAGGAATGCCACAGAAGGCTTGTGGTGAGCAAGAATCAAGCCTCTTCTCAATGCTGGCAGGTTTCTACCAGCTTGGAAAATGTTACCAACAGTGATGTGCTCTCTAAAGAAGCAAGGGGAGGGAAAGCCACACTGAAATACCATACTGCATCTGCTCACACTCTGTGGGGCTCCCTCATACCTACTGATTTCTGTGCTAGTGGCAATATGGATTGGGGCCGCATAGCAAGTGTTGGGAAGAATGTGTGGGCAAGTGTGTGTGAGTGGCGCTTCGTATGTGTTTATGTGTGGTTGTGCCTATGTGAGTAAGTGTAGGTGGCTATGTTTGTGAGTGTGTATCTGAGTGTGTGGGGGGTGTGTCTGTGTGTGTGTGATTATGGCTGTTGTGAGTGTGCACATGAGTGTTGGTGATGTGAATGACTGTGGGTGGAAATATGAGTTTGTGAGTGTGTGGGTGTGGGGTTGTGCTGCTGTGGATATGTGTGAGTGTGGATATCAGTGTGGATGAGTGTAGGTGACTGTGTGTGGGAGTGTGAGTTTGTGAGTGTGTGGGGGGGGTGTTTGTGGGGGGTGTGGGTGGCTGTGGGTGTGAGTGTGTGAGTGTGGATATCAGTGTGGATGAGTGTAGGTGACTGTG